TTACTATTATTGATATTCTTTATACCTATGGGGATAAATCTTTTATGTCTTACTTATTAGAAAAAGTTATAAGTCAAAATGCAAAATAGATTTGTCTACATTATTACTACTGGTACTCTTAATGATTTTGCTGAGTAAGACTAATTGATTAATCTTTCTATAATTTGGTATTGTTTAGTGATGAGAAATGGGAAGAAGAGGGGGTTTTTTCCTGTAATGTTCGAGAAGGTGTTACATTAGTGTAAAGGCTTATACTTGTTTGAAAGAAGGGGGGAGTCACTTTTTATGTCTTTTTCTTTTTTTTCTTTCTCTTGTTCTCTTCTTTTTGTGTACTTTTCTAATTCTATATTAGCTTTTAACCATGTAAAACTCTAATAAAAATATTGTTAAAAAAAGTATAGGAATATAATCACCATATTTGCTTAGCTTTAAGATAATTTATTTCACCTTATTGAAATCCACTAAAACCAATCAAAGTGCCCAGATATCGCTTTAAGGCTAGAATAAAAAAGCTGGGTAAATTAGCACAACATTTTGAATCCTGTAAAAGATGGCTAGTCTTGTTAAAACCTGCCTTTAGTATCAGCAACCTGCCTTCCTGAAGAAAAGTATCTTCTCGTGCAGCCATTCCCAAAATGATACCTGCAATCTAGTATACTGGACCACAACTTCCAGTGTCAGTGAGTATGCCAGTGTGTATGCGGTGAACAACAGCACTCAAAAGTTTATATTCCTCAGGCCCAAGTATGGTATGAGTTATGGCATCAAAAAATGAATGCAAATAGAAGGGTTACTTATTTATAGCAAAAGGCTAGCAAAAATTTCAGGATACTCTCTCCAAACTAATGGAAATGGGTGTCAAAATATAAAATGAATTGATGTCCATTAGGACAAAGAGAAATAAACTGCAGCCTAACTTTATATATAAGCTCAAGTGTATGCTGACAGACTAGAAAAAGTACCTTGGTATTGTGATGGATAGTTCAATTAAAATATCTACCTGGGGGACAGCTGTTATGAAAAAATCAAATTCCATATGGGGGTCCAAAATGGAATTTGCCTTTTTCATAACTCTTTGACATTAGTTTGACATTTTATGAAATAAATTGAAAATATAACTGCCAGTTACAATATTTTATTTAAATGTATAGCATTAGTACAATTTTGCTCGTGTACTTCTAAAAATGCAGGTGGGAAAAATGCAGAAAGCACCACGCAAACGATTACAGTGTCAGAGAAACTCACCAATAACAAAAGCTTAGATTATTTGGAGGTTTTCACCTCAAGAAGGAAATACGCATAGCAGAATGAGCATTTGGAATCTGCTAGACATTCAACAGTCAAATTCATAGAGAATACAGATATCCATGGTTAATACTCATGATGGCTGCTTATTACTTCCAGTATTATTTATAAAATGCAGTATGCCTCTGAATGCTAGTTGCTAGGCAACATAAGGGAGAGAGTGCTCATGCATTCATATTGTGTCTATGGAGGTATCTAGGTGGACTTATTTGGAACAGAATGCTGGGCTAGATAAGCTTTTGGTCTGATCTGGAGTATGCTTATTTACTTGTGACAAACAAAACTATTTAAAATGAAAGTAATTTTCAGCTGGTTACACAGATGGTTCCGGCCAATGAGAAAACCAAGAGCAAATACCTATTCAGATGAATATTTCCTGAATATGATTCCTTTTTCATAACTTATTGAGAAATCCTCAACAGCTCTTTGAAAGTGCCAGACTTTCAACACTAACAAAATGGTCATAGAAACTTTCAGCTCCTCTCAGTCCACTAGTTCTAATCTCTACTCAGCCATGAAACAATAGTAGATATAAGAGTTAGCTCTCGCCTTGAGTAGGTTTCTATGATTGGTCTAACATAGTTCTCAAATCTCCAATGTACTTAATGCGCATTGCAAAGTAAAGATAAAGACTCCCTTTAGAGTACTGGCAACAAAAAAGAAGTACCCTTGCCTTCTGCTGGAATGTTTTTTCAACTTCTTAATCTTGTCTACAGCACTAGAATTCCAGGTGGTCTGCCATCAAAATACTAATGAGGTCCAATGCTACTTAGCTTTTTTGAAGAACACCAGGGTGGACTGCTACCTGCTATAGTCTAGAAAAGTAAAAATCCTTCAAAAGTTGAAGGGAAGATGGCAAAGAAAATCTGGCTCTACACCTTCCAATGATGTCATTACAACACTGCCTCAACTCTGCAGTTCAGCTGCAAGTGAAAAAAAAACTGAAAACGTGGTTTCCAGCCATGGGTGAATATTCTCAAATTCTATACATAGTACCTTCTGGGATGAAGGGAGCACTTTCTAAACTTGAAGTGGTTTATCGTAATAATAGCAGCACTTGTCACACTGCTAAATAATTTTAAAGTGATAAAATGCTGCATAAGCAAAAGGTGAGGACCGTTAAAACTTTCCTGAAATATTAGGCACACATTCAGAAAAGAAGAGTTCCTCAGGAACAAAACTAGAAATCTGTTTTCAGTTTGTATCATTTTAATTTGTCTTCATAAACAATGTTCCAGAAAGCATGAACATGACTGGCTTACTTAAAATTACAGATTAAAAAAAATTAGTCCAGTATGAGACACATACCTCATATTCACTCGAATTCACCGTTAATGAAGGGACAAGAGAGAATAGTTCATTGAGTGTTTTTAAAATAAGTGGCCGGGTATCACAGCTCAGTCTGGGTGAGAGCGCATTCCATGTAGAGCGAATGCAAACAACCTGGAATAGGGAAACAAAGGCTGCCTTTAGCATGACACAGTCGATATAGATATAGATATAGATATGTATGCTTAAAATATGTTTAAGGATATATGGTATATGGATTAGAAACAGCACTTACAAATCATATCTTGTAGACTCATTGTAAACCAGATGTGCAATGTTTCAGACAGAAACTCAATATCATTAAGTGACTAACATTTAACCAAAATTAAGTACATTTTATACTGTTGATATTTACCACAGATATCATAAAGATATTAATGAAATCCACACCTCTTTAGCTTCAACAGGCTTGCTGTATCCAATGCCTTGGGATTGAAAAGTATAAATTACACACATATGTACCATCATACAATTCCCTTTTGATTTAAGCAACATTATGCAAAACACAGGAGTAAAAAATAGTAAGCCAGAGAAACTGAAGGCATGATGTAAGCAAAAGAAAAACAAACACAGCCAGAAGTAGTTTACATCAACAGCACTCAGTACACCTTTTCATACCTTTTTGACCTTGGAAACCATTCTTCCTAACGTCCATATGCTGCTGCATACATTGCTTTTGCTTCATTAAACTTCTCACCTCTCTCTTTTTCAGAATCTCACAAACAACCACAAATTATCTGATTTTCCCCTTCCTCTCAACCCATTCATTCTTTTTTCATATTTGTTTTGCAATTTGATCCTCATTAATTCTATAGGATCAACCCACAGCATTTCTTTCATGCTGGTCAGTCACTTTTATATTCTATGTACATTCATTCAGGACCCATTCGTTCTTGACTGTACCTTTTCTTGTTTTACCTCATTAAATATCCCACTCCCATTGCATTAAACTTTCTTTTATGTTTCTCCTGACATATAACTCTCAGTTCCATATAACAAAGTGAGTAAGCTGGCCAAAGCATGCTGTCATACACATATATTTTTGCTTCTTTTGATAAACATTTATACTTTCCATTAATTCCACACTTCTGTGGCACACTGTAACATAATTCTTTTCACTCTATTCCAAGCATAGTATTTCCTTATGTCATTTCCATTCATGCTGTTACGAGATTAATCTAGCTTCTAATACTTTTTCAAACAGGGCTCATTTTTTCACTTCCTGAAGTTGTTCCACTTTTATTTTAGTTTCTTTCAAATCTCACTACCTTCATTCACCTCTGTTACGTCTATCTGTCTGTCTCGTTAATTCATGTTCTATTTATTCCTCTTACATGCTAAGTCACAAACTTCCATATGCTATGGTCATCACAAATGAGCCCACAGCTACTGACACATTCTTTGCTCCTCATATCTTTGTTCAACTTGAGGTCAAAGACAGAAAGGTGTAGACCAGCTGACCAGCTTTAGCCACACCTGTGCCACATGCAGCATTCGCTGCTAATGCAGTACCAGTACCATTTGGGTACATTTTGGCTAGTATGCCATATGCACAGTCAAAGTCCAGTTTTTCTCAGGCACGTTCACATTGTTCTATGCATGGATGTCTAACATAGCGATTACCTCCCAAGGCAACATACTGTTGCCTGAATCCCAGTAACTAGAAGAGATAAGCAATGTAGAGATATACATTCCGGGAGCCTATTCTAAAGGAGAATTCTGAAATAATTATCACACATTTGGCATATCTATTCATAGCTAAAAATTAGCCCTTGCTGGATCACTGTTAGAGTGATACAAAATCCCTTTGTGTCCACAGGATAAGAAAAGATCCATCAACAGAACACTAAAATCTGGCTCTTATATAAAATCAATTTTGATGAAACAGATATGTTAGGTTTTTATAGTTGGGAATGCCAATTTATCACTAAAAGAAGGATAGCAATTCCAAAAGTTGTAGTTAGGACTACAATTCATCAACATTCCCTTAAAATACAATAATAACATTTAAAAAGGTGAATCATTTTTTGAAACTGTTTTCATCATGCACATTATCAAAATTCAGAGATTCCAGCAAAAATCCCTGAACAAAGTGAGCGCCAATTGTCACTGAAGGTAAGGTTCTAAAGAAGCAGCTGTAGTAAAACCCAAAGACCTGAATAAACACAGCCCTAATCAACAAACTTACAAATAGTGGAGGCATGCTAATGTGTTGCCCCATCTGTGCATAAATCAATGGAGCTGTACATTCACCCATGACAAAATTTATTACTTTTAGGCAATCTAATTTTATTCACTACTAATTACCTGACCATTATTGACCTAGGACAAGCTACTACAATAAAAGTTGCTTCTGCTTCAACATTTTACCATCTCAGAATCCTCTATGGAATTTGCAGACTTAAATTCATACGTTTTTAAAAATTTTGATTTAAGAGAAGAGATTTTTTTAAAGGAAATATGCTACCATTTTATAATGAAAGTGGTTTTTGAATCTAACAAAACTGTAACTTGTGTCCATGCATGCACCTACTTGCTTCAAAATTATAGCTTAATAAGTCAATGCTGAAGCAGTTTGTTTTCTAGATGAGCCCCCAGAGTGCTATATGAATGAATTTCAAGAAAAGCAATAATTTAGAGAGGTGTAATGCACATCTAGACTAGGTAATTTATTACTAGATGTCAAGATAGTATTAATACCATTTATTAAGTCAACTGATTTTTAAACACAGAGGTCTAGGCTCTAGTCAGTAAGCACAACAATATATATCTACATACTGCCCCAAGGATTTTATTACATGATCAGGACTGAAGAAGCCATGAAGCAAATAATAGAATTTTTTGAAGAATGCTGTGTATGAATAAAAAACACTACCTTAAAAACATGGGACAAGTTTTAAAAGGACTGCATTTCATGATATAGAACAGGTATTTCTCTCTCTCTTTTTTTAGTATGAAATTCAGCCAAGGACAACATATACTCTTTGTTAAACCTAAGTACTGTACTTCTTTAGATCCCAGACTATGGATGCTAAGTCATAAGCTTACCATCATTTGTAAACTCACTCATTTCAGTTTAAAGAGGGTTCAGCTGAGGTTTATTTGTAAAACTATGTATTATTAAAGATTTAATGCCGTCAATAGGCATGATATTAGAAAATACAAGAGAAGTTCCTGCTTCAAAGGATCAGACATTTTAAAATTTTGATTAGAGAAAGGCATCATCAGAGAAAGGATTTCAATTTCAGGATTCCCATCTGTATTGTCAACATCCTTGCTGACTAGGAATTCTAGAAGTTGTAGTTCTAACAAATCTGAAGAACACCAGGCTAGAGAAAGCTGCAATTCAACATAGATGGCAATGCCACATATAGAGGAAACAAAGACATTAATAGCTGATCCCAAAAGATAATGTATTCTATAATGTTCATTTCAGTTTTATGGTTTTACTAAGGGACCTACAGTAATATTATAGGCTAAGCAGCTTTACTTCATTTCTTTCCTTAATGTGTACATTTTGATCAAGCTAAAGTGTTTTTTTTTTAAATCAGCAATATAGCAGCTGTTCCACTTCAATATTGATGTTTTCCCACTGCCTCCCCAAAAGGGTGAGATTGTTAATGTATAATTTGCTTGTATTTTGTTACTAGAATTAAGATGTTGAGGTTTCCACACATTTTTACTACTAATGCATCATAGTAGCATCAGTAGAGAGCCACTTTGCTGTAGTAGTTAAAGTGTTAGCCTAAAAAGCAGGACACTGTGAGTTTTAGGCCTCCCTTAGGCAATGAAAGCTGGCTGGGTGACTTTGGGCCTGTCACTCTCTCTCAGCCCAACCCACCTCACAGGGGTGTTGTTGTGGGAAAAATAGGAAGCAGGAATATTAGTTATGTTTGCCACCTTGAGTTATATATGTAAAAAAGGCAGGATAAAAATCTAGTAATAACTACTGTAAATAGAATAAACATTAACACTACTTTTTTTCAAAATTTTATTCCATACCCCAAGTCTCTGAAACTTTTGAGGGACATGAGTTTTCTAAGTTGTCTAAGATATCCCTCATCCTTCAGGCCACCTAGAAATATACTAAATAAGATCATACCTGGAATGAATGAATCAAGCATGCCAGTAATTTACATTTTAGGCACTTAAACTGCTTTCTCCCTTACTTTTCCCCATACAGCATTCTCCAGGGCTCGAAGGCCCCCTCTCCCCCCCGCCATCTCTGCAGGGAGTAAACCATTGTAATGAAGACTTCAATGGATTTCCCTGGGGTCAATCCATGCACAGAAATACACAAAAGTTCCCTTCAGGAATTTTAACTTTTCAGACATTGTTATCATATCTGCAGGATTCTGCCAGTTGTCTGCAATTATCATGAATCATTCAAGTCTATGCTATAACAGCAGCAGAAGTACTTACAGATAAGTAAAATTGGCCAGAAAAAATATATGCTTCCAAAAATTACAAGTGCAAGATGATACTAAGATTTGATCAGGGGAAGAAGACAAAGTAGTGTCTAAATTAGGGTTACACATCTGCTTTATATTCAAACTCAAGGAAGTAGATGCCAAAAAGAGTTTCATAATATACAAAATTGTAAGAAAACTGCAGATGCCTCTGGCAAATAGGAGAATCAAATATCCGTATGTGCAGAGAAATGAGTTGCCATTGTCCCTGTGATGTTCATTCTGAAAAGGTAATGAGTTAATGCAATCACTATAGCAATATTTTATATTAGGAAAAAATCAACACACTGGGCATCAGAATTAAACAGCCACTCTGTAGGCTGTAGAAACACTTTAGGGGAACCATTTCAAAATCAGTAATGATAAAGCTCTTAAGAACTCCTATTGAGTTAAGCCCTTTTAACGAACAGACCGATCCATGAATACAATTCCAGTGTAACTCATGCTGACAGCTACTGAAACTTAATCTGATTATATGTTGAGTGGAAATGACACTTCTCCACCTCCACTTTAGAAAACACTGATCTCAATAAGTAGACAAAACAATTTATCTGGAGAATATATATATGGGAAAGAGAAAATTAAAAAAGAATCCTGATATTGGGAGAAATTATAAATATTTATTTACAAATTAATTGAAAAAATATTAATCAATATATCCTACAACAAGAAATATAAATGAAAATGACACAGAATGTGTGCCTTCTCTGTCTCTGTGTTACAGCCTTTATTTTGAAAAATAAAGTTACATGATTAACTTTAACTTAATGATTTTTTATTTTGAAAAAAATCATTAAGAAATTATTAAACTAATGTACTCTGTCTTAAGAGATAAATATCATCTATAAAATATAACCCAATGGCAGTATTCACAGCTACAACATTTGTTAACAATATTGTTTAGAGCAGCAGCCTTTTCAGCTTTTGAGACACCTGAGATATTAGAACTTGTTAAATACTTTAAAACTAAAAAACCTATTACTTTTTATAGATATTTGTTATCGATAAATCAATCTGATATGCACATGTTAAGGGATAAGTGGAATAAAGAATTAGAGGTTTCTATATTGACTAGACAACGGGAAAGTGTCTTAACTTATATAGCAAGAGTGTCAATGGACCTTAAACTACGACTTATACAACAAAAAATAATATTTAGAATTTATAGTGTCAATGGACCTTAAACTACGACTTATACAACAAAAAATAATATTTAGAATTTATAGTGTCAATGGACCTTAAACTACGACTTATACAACAAAAAATAATATTTAGAATTTATTGGACTCTGCTATGTCTGTATAGATAAGGAGTGTCACGCATTTTGTAGTAATAAGGAAAATGCCTCTTTAAAGCATATGCTTTTACAATGTACTATACTTACTAAGTTTTGGAAGAAAGTAAGACTATATAAATATGATTGTGCGACAAAAGCTAACATTTTCAGAGGATAGTATTATTTTGAACTATATACCTAGTACATGGAATTTGACATCTGGACA